TATACTATACAATTTGAAAATAAGTGTAAACATGCTATGGTCAAACATTGTATTGCATCCCTACATAATAGTTGGAATTAATTGCCATAATGCTAAGGTTACAGTTACCATTCTTGAAAAATGAAGGATAACGCATTACGCATCCTTTGGCATAATAATTGACAGATTTTCATAAAAAAAAAAAAAAAAAATTAAAAACACATATGGTAATTCAATATACCCTAATAATAAGGAGTTTGTTCAGTAAAAATAGGAAACATAACTGTTTGAATTTTGAACCACCTTAGCGTATAACTATTTACAAATCCCACAATCCTAAATACATATTTCGCCAAATCAGGTGTTTTTGTGCAAGTCGAATTGTTTTTTTTTTTTTTTTTTTCGCATCGTGTTAATACCGTATACTAAACGTATATATTCCTTTTTTTCGTGTTTTTTCTGTATACATAATATATACAGAAGATATACAAAAAAAAAACGTATAAGTCCGGAAAATATAAGAAATAACTTGGTAATTTTATCTTTTCGTAATTCTTTTTTGTTTCGCGATCAGACTTATATACAGAAGATATACTCATTACATACTCAACATATATATATATATATATATATATATTCACTGATTATAAGCGAAACATATACTAAATGTGAGTATATTTGTCAGGAACATATACAGAAGATATACTAATTGTATACATAGGACATAAAAGAAAATAACAGAAGATAAATCAATCTTGTCATTATATACATAATATATACATAAAATATACAAAAAAGGCATTAGGGGCTAGGTTTAATTTTGAATCAGATCTCGTTCTTATCGATGGCCATATACTTCCTGGCTTCATATCCAATTTCCTTTTATCCTGCTCCAATCCCTATTCCTCTCCTCCCTTCTTGTACTCGAGAACCAGCAGCCAGAGGGCCTTCCGCACTTGAGAAGCCTTCGAGCAACCCATCGCGAACACTTTTCTTCCGTTGAAGAGACTACCACCTGGACGGCGATCGTACGTATCCCTGCTTATCTTCGTCTATTTCACATTTTTCCTCCCCATTTCTGCGGACTTGCTTTTCTGGAAGTTGTTGTACTGCTTCTCTTCTTCCTGGTACCTCGTAAGCAATTCCCGTTGATTTATTTGCCACTAATTAAGGAGTTGACAGATATTAAAACTTTATTTGCCACTAATTAAGGAGTTGATAGTCATTAAAACTCTGGTGTATGTACAAATAGTTGTGGTAAATGTGGTAGGTTTGTAAATAAATATATATGGAATATAAATTTATAATATAAAGAATAATGTTTGGTATGGAGTGTAAATTCCTCAAATTTTTATATTCTTTGTTTTTTTATTATTATAAGGTTTGCAAGAATAATGATATTACTAAACAATCCACTTCATACTAATTTAATTATGAGGAAATATGAATGAACTAATTAAAATAATAGTTAATACGTTATATAGACAATACTCCTTGATTTCCTTTATCAAAATCTACTTACAAACAAAACATATAAAATTAATTAAAGACAAGTGAATCTAAAAAAAAATAACTAATTTGACAATATTCAAGGAGAAATATACTGGGTCGCTACGGAAACAGCCTCCTTGTATAATTACAAGGGTAAGGTCATTGACAATATTCAAGGAGAGGAGAAATATTAATCATACCATAATAAAAACATTTAATTGATAATATTACAACCATGCAAAACACACACACAAACACCTTATATTTACACAAACAAACTAGAACTCTACTAATATACTTGAGCATTAACATACACATATATATAAACCAGACTCATTAATAAAAACTCTTCATTCAATAAACCCCAGCTAGTTTTGTTTCATCACAAGCTAGCCTTCTTTTACTTTCATGTATTCGATGAAGGATTTCCCGTCAAGTTTTCGCGAAAAAAACTCTTTCAAATACTGCTCCATAGCCATGCGCCTAAAGATCGGTGGCTTCTTAATAGTGTTTATAACCGAACGTGAGGGACCCACTTCAGCTTCGAACTTAGGGTTGAAAAACATGGCAATGCTAATCCTCTCTTTCACTCGATTCACAGTAGCCTTGTGCTCGATGCTCTTATAAAGTCCGTTGCTTAGTATCTACACGTACACATCATTTTATGTAATTTCAAATGAATTTTCTTTTTTTTAAAAAAAAAAAATAAATAAAAAAATTTGAGTATATCATTAGGTACTATACTAAGTAAAAGTAATAATCTTTTTAACTAATTAATTTATTTGATGACATTGAAATTTGATAAAGTAATTGGTACCATTACAATAACATTTTGAATCTTGATCATGATTCTAAGAATTTTCTTTTTATAATGAGTAATGTACCAACCACTAACTAATTACATGATGAGTAATGTAGCAACTGCTAATTAACTACATTTCTATCGTTCTGAAAAAAAAA